CTCAAACATCCTTCAAAAAAGAAATCCTTCAGCGACTAGGGGTGCCCAAACCCCCAGACTACTACAAAATTGGCTCTAAGACCGGAAATATTTTACATACCCGATTAAGAACTGATATGTCTTGCTTAAACTCACATCTATTTCAAATAAACAAAACAGATACGCCTGAATGTTCTTGTGGTCATTTCAAAGAAGATGTACGTCACTACGTACTATTCTGCCAAAATTATGATGCCCAAAGAAAAGAACTAATCGATAACGCTTCTCGTATTCTCGGAGAGAATTTTGCAAACTATTCACCTGACCGGAAATTCAACATGCTAATTCACGGAGATCGCTTGAGTGGCGAGGGCAGTCGTGATATGGCATACATCTTCCAAACCTTTTTAACTAAAACAAGCAGATTTTCGAAGTAATCAAATGATTTATTCAAAATTTCATCATGCGATCCCGTGAGCTAGGCGGCTGTTGGAACCATCAAAATTTACCGCTCATGAGCGACTGGCCAGCGGCGGCGGCGGTTGTTTCACATGTTTTATCTTATGTTTCAGAGTGGTGCCTCGAGTCAAGCGATTGCGCTTTTGCACCACTCTGCTATCACGCTTATGTTGTTAATTATTGTACTGTATGTTTCATTGATTATGCCTTATTTCTTATGTATGTTTGGTTCCTTAATAAACATTGTGTGTGTGTGTGTGTGTGTGTGAGAAGCGTCACCAACAGCTGATTGCAAGGAATGTTACAGCGACTAAATTATTGCAGCAGTAGTTAGTGCGAACTTGTTGCGAAAACACCGTTGTATAATGCATATTAATGTGCCATTCTGATAATATTATTTTACACAACAGTTAAAGTTTTACAATTCAGAGGTTAATCACCGGTTAGGAAATAAAGAGACAGTAAGTAGTCATCAATGACAGCTTTCCTTCGCCTCAGAGACCAAAATTGACGCAGTCAAATGCCAATCCTTGTCAGAATGTCGAAAGTGCGCCAGTATTGTATTGCGATATGTTTGGGCCGCATGCCAGTCAATATTTTGATTTTTTGTAAGGGTAATTGCAGGTAATTGGTGTGTTATTTTCGTAATATAGGGTGGGGCAGAACATAGAGAAGGATAGGTAATCAATGAATTTGCATCAAATTTTGTTTAGCTCTTTTTTATGCCGACCAGACGCAAATAAAGTAACATGTGGCATTTGCTCTGATTTTCAACATCAACATCTCATTTTAGTCTGGGTTCTTCCATAATGTATATCTAGTGCACACTGCACATAGACTTCAGTTTAGCTTCCTATAAGTTTGCTTTCAGGTTCTTTTATGTTTTATGGAATGCTTTCACCAGCATTTATTTATGCTTTGTAGTTTGTTGTTTGTACCCTGGTTTGGTCATTGCTGGACTGTGGATGCTATTGCTGGTTGTTTTCAGTTTTGCATTTGAAATGTGCTTCCTTGATAATTTTTATATTTGGTTCTGTTTTAAAAGTTGTTTTGATGAATATTGTATTGTTAACCTGAGCAAATGCACTTGGCATTGTGTTTTGCATCTAAAAAAAAATAAAAATAAAATTATAGGTTCTAAAGTCTGACCGCCAAATACCCGCCACACGACAAGTTTTGCTTCTCGAACCCGCCAAAAACCCTGCGGGTTTTGAAAACCCGCAGAAAGCGGGTTTGCGGGTTCAAAAAGGGCATCTCTAGTACGCACCATCCAGGCCTAGGATGCATCGAGGTTTAAAATAATGCAGTCTGTAGATCAATCAACCTAACTATGGTGGCATACAACCACATTAAAATATCTCCCCGGCTCCCGCAACGTTCCAACGCCCCTCCGTTATGCATTCGCCTTGTGTGTCCGCCGAGCCGGCTTGCCTCCAATGACGTCATCGGCCGGCTGGCGGCGTTCAAGGTCAAACGGCTGGTCTCCTTACATGGAGTTCTATAGCCTTGGGATTACCTATCTATGTGGTGGTAACGTACTGGCTTACCTCGTTGCATAGCGATTTAAAAATAAACCGATTGATTTTTTCCCAGTAGCTTGCCGGGCACAGGAGTTATGTTCACTTGGCGATCTTGACTAATGTTTTGCTGTGTACTGAAGCATCGGATTTGCAACGAATGTTATGAACTTCGTGTCAAACACTGACTATGATATGCTTTCCTAGTAAATTAAAGCCAGGGTAAATGAACGGTTGATATTAGAGGTGTCAATCGGATACCAACTTCTTGGTATACCGATACCAAACCGATACCGAATTGGTATTTGGTATTTCAATCCATAGGCGGCGGAACGATTTGAGACAAGGGGGGGGGGGGGGGGCACCAGCTCAAGGAGCCAAACCCAGGGTACCCCCAAATCCTGTTTTCTCATCGGATTTAGGCCACTTATTTTTTTTCGTCACAGCCCTGACACGATGATTTTTTTTATTTTTTTATTTTTTTTTACTAAACAAAATGGCAGTTCACCCCCGTATGTGTGGTTAACTTTAACCCGCGCCCGGCTGGGGGTCCTGGATTTCCACGCCCTGCTGGGGGGGGGGGGTGTTTGAACACCCCCCCCCTTGTAACTCGGCTCCTGGGCCACGTAGCGATACGCGGAAGGCGGCGTTCGAAAGAGCGTCAAAAATAATGACAAATCACTTCGGTCAATTTTTTGGTCAGGTCAAAGGTCAGGTCACCAGAGGTCATTGAAGGCAAAATTTCGCCGATTTCCAGGTCGAATGTAGAATATTTCCAAAAAGCCAACGCATAACTCGGGAACCAATAGAGCTACAGCGCCGCAGAAAAGCGCATTCGATAGCCCTATTAACGCCCTTTCTGAGTAATTCTCTCAGATTTGACCTAACGTCAACGGTTTTGCCTGCAGGGGGCAAAAACTGCAAAAATAGCCGATTTTTTCGGAAACAGTTTTTCTGCAATAACTTTTGACCCAAGCCCTGTACAAGCTTACTTTTACCTCCATCGTGTTCCTCTCGTCAAGACGCATCTAATGAACTATACCTTGACCTTGAAAGGTCAACTTGAAAATTTGACCTCAGGTCAAGGTCATGACCTGACCGGAAAGGGTCATGTTGCATATCAGTCGATCCGTATCGTCGAGCTAAACACATCTAAGGCGTTTTTATCGCTCTAGCATGCCTCTATCAAAAGTTATTTGCGAAAAACTGTTAGATACCATTCGTGACCTAAGATGACCTCAGGGCATAAACAAGGGTCACGGACACCATTTTCATGTCCAGTGTGTAAACCACTTGTAATTCGGTGTTTGGGAGTGTTTATAATGTCTTCCGTCCAAAAGAGGCGCATTTCAATTTTCTCCCATTGACTTATAATGGGGAGGTCGTAAAATTGACCTGACCTTAGGTCATCGATATCAAAATTCTGAGATATAAATTTTGTACATGTCATTGCTCTTACCAATCGCTGAACGTTTCAAAGCAATCGGTCACTCGGTGTTCCTATGACAGACATTGAAACTTTTTATGAGGTGAGGTCACTTCAAGTGACCTGGTGACCTGACCTTGAATGACCTTGGTCTGAAATTTTCACAACATGTGTAGAATTGATGCATGATAAGGAGATATTCGCGAAAAACCACAAGGGGGGTGTTCAAACACCCCCCCCCCCCCCAGCAGGGCGCGGGTTAAGCTGATCCTCAAGTACCTATGTGTTTGTCTCTTCCTTATTGTCGTTTGATAGATTCCATTTATCCTACATGCATCAAATTCCCCTAGAAGCCATCGCAGTACTAATCAGTGGCGAATCCCAGGGGGGAGGTCACATGGGTCATGACTTAGGGCCTGGGGTCACCACATGCCTGCCAGGAGCACCACAGGCCTGACAGCCGACAGGGGCACCACAGGCCCGCCGGGGGTACAACCCTCCCAGGCCAATATAGAAAACCAATTGGTCCGGCCAGGGTTAAATACCCGTACTGCGATCTAATGTTAAAAGACGGCCCAAAGTCACCTGACGCCAGTGACAGGTCCTATATTTGCAGCGTCTTATATTCACGAATGTTTCCATTTTCACTTTCTTCAGCCGAGTGATGGTTACCAATAGCAAGGCTCTCTAAATGCAAGCCGTAATCGCCATTCGCCACGCAATATGTGGAAGGCTTTTGATGTCAGTACATACATCCATACATATGTACATACATCCATAAAACCATATTTTCTGCGCTTTTCACAAAATTAATAAACTCAAGCGCATCTGTTTATTGATGACCAGTCAGCTACCTACACATGGAAGCGTGCAGGTCACCCGTCACACAGGTCACAAGACAGCGTAAGCCGGGCGCGGCGGCCGAGCCGATACTGGGGCCGGTGCGGGCGGTAGTTGGGTAGGAATATCGGCTCCTGCAAATTTTGCGCAAATATGCGCAGTTAGCTTTTATGTTGCCCTGGTGTAAATTTGAATCTTGCTTCACCTCACAAAATATCAAAATGGAACTAGAGGGAACTACCTGTTGTTTCCTTACCAAAACTTTGCAGTTACATTCCAGATTCACTATAGGAGAGCCTTCATAAAAAGCTACAGTAAATCTTAGTTGGGGAAAAAGTATACAAAAAAAGTTTGCACTGACCAGTCGCCAACTTCATAACGAACATTTTGATGCATAATATGTGGGATTTCAACGTGGTGTCTATCAGCAATAAGACTCTGAATATCCGGCTCAAGAAACCTCTTGCTCCGCGTTAGTTTCCGAGTTCTGGAATACCCCATCTTCGGGGGCTGATTACAGTTATTTTTGATCACCTGGAGTAGTTTTTTTTTTTGGCCTAATTATAATAATTTGATCAATTTCAAATCGATCTATATAAAAAATAATCCGAAACTCTGGAATCACCCGTGGCCTCTCGTGAGGGCGTTCCCGACCAGTGTGCAGCGGAGCAGAGCGGACCCGGACAGTGGCCGGGCGGGATTCGGCGGCCGGCTGGCTCCCTGGGCCGGGTAGCCTCCGCCGCGGCCCGCGCCGGCCACGCGCGCTCCTCAGTCCTCACCTCCTCGGCTCTCGCTGTCGGCTGGCTTCACCTGGATCGGCCGGTTCATCTGCAACGAGGCACTCCGTTAGCTGAGCACTCGAGTCGGAGAGGCCCGCGGGCCACTGCCGGTCACAGTCCGGGCGCCGGTCACAGTCCGGGCGCCGGTCACAGTCAGGGCGCCGGTCACAGTCAGGGCGCCGGTCACAGTCAGGGCGCCTGACCCTGACGGCAGTCATAGCCGCGACAGTCATAGCTAGGGGACACGCTGCCTGATGCGAACAGAAAGCTGCCCTTTTAACCCTCGCCGGACCTATTGGTTTTCTACATACGCGCCGGCCGAGGGGGGAGGGGGGGGGGGTACGACCCCCTCGCCGTTTTGCCCCTGGTGGAGCTAGCGTGTCGCGGAAAAAACGAGCGTGTGCACCGTTATGAGACGCAGGGATTGATACCCGATTTTAAGGTCCTAGATCAACTGGTGACCTCTGAGGTCAGGTCAAGTGCCCCAAGGTACGGTTCCGGTTTTTGCTAAATGACTTCGCAAAAAATGGCCGCAGAGCCGCGATTTTGGCACCATTGTGTTCGCCTAGCCCAGGTGCGTCGAATGGTATACTTTTTGTTAGGGTGAGGTCAACTTACGTAGTTGACCTTGGGTCTAGGCCAGGTCAAAGCCCCTCAGGGTCACGAAGCTGGGCAAAAGGTATCATATGGCATACCATTCGATTCGGAAGGTTTTCCCGAGTCCAATGGTGGTTTTCCCGACTCTGTAGCTCAATTTGATCGGGAGTTATTGATGGAAAACTCGTACGACCCTAGTGACGTCATAAATGACGTCACGCAAGGTTAACATTGCAAAAGTGAAGCATTGGACTTTGCAAGGAGTGCATGAAATCACGATACCATGTACGTGAGATAGTTTTAGATCATTCTTGGCGCCAAAATAATAGTTTTTTATTTCCCCATTGACTTTTAACCGACCTGGGGCCGTATTCACGTCGACTTCGTAAGTCAATTTTCTTTTGTAAGTATAATTTGGTATTCATGTCGACACTTCTTAAGTTTTTTCTTACGAAATGTCTGGATATCTACAAAAATCGGTATTCACGTCAAAATTCGTAGGAATATCTTAAGAAATTCGTAAGAAGCGTTTGGTGCATTGACCTTTGCCTTAATCATTGAGATTTAGGCATCCTCCTTGTAGGGATTTACACAACTATCCATTGTATAAATATAAAAATCAAAATGTCTGTACGTATGTATGTAACGCGTCCGTCACGCTTTAAGGGCTATTGCTGTGGAACGGTGCGGGCTACGGGGGTGAAATTTTGGACTTAAGTCAGACGTGTGCATCTGTTTGTCGTATCAACTTTTCGAGGGGGTGCGTGCGGTGGTGTGCACGTGGCGGGCGCATCTTTGCGGGATTTTGGCCGCGGCCGGCTTCGAGCAGACGGCACGTGCCTTAGCTCAGATTGTTCGCTGCGAAAATGAGGGAAATCAGAGCCGGAAGGTCACTGACCTTTGGCAATGAATACCGGAACAGGGCACCGCCGGCCAAGAGGAGACGCCAAATTTATTCTGGCAATAACTCGACCACTACTGGGCCGATTTTATTGAAACTTGATTTATTACGCTGCACGTAATGCTGTCCCTCTTTACGCTGCGCGTAATGCTGTCCCTCTAGTTGTATATAATTGATAGAGACAAGTAGAAAAACACGGAACAAATAGTGCATGAACGCGTTTCGATTATTAAATCTTCATCATCTTTTTTTATAAAAAATCAATTTTTTGAATTTTTTGGGGTCAAAACCCCAAAATTATGAAAATCCGAGATAGCAGTTTTGTAGCGCCGCTTTTTGTCTGCTAGACCATATAAAGAACTTTGAAATTGCTTGATATCTGTAGATTTGGTGAGCGTTTCAAGATTGCATGTTTTTTGCTCATTTTTGCTCGAACATGACCTCAGTTTGACCTCAATAACTCCTGACCTAAGGTGACCTAAGACTTGAAATTTGGTGTGAAGGTGTCAAATTTATGCCCGGGAAGGTACTGAAAATTTGGCGGCGCTGCGCGCCGCCGCTTTCTTGCTATTCAGGAAAAATCACACTTAACCCTCGCCCCCAACGGGGCGAGGGTTAAGTGTTGGGGGCGCCCCTCTTCTACTGGGCAGCCCAACTTCTGCATGAGGTGCCTTATTTCTTGACATTGATGGACATGCGCTTTTAGTGGATGGGGAAGCACCTGTACCCCCATACATATAGAAAGTTACAAGAAAGCCTTTTTGAAGGCTTTCTTGCCTTTTTAAGCCTTTTTTTTTTAGAAAGAAAGCCTTTTTGCCGCTGATCGGCTTGGCCGCTGACCAAACTTGAGCGCAATCAGCCCAGCTGTTCTTGAGATGTAGAAGCGGCACCCTGCACGTGCGCACGTGTAAAATGGTTCAAACTGGATTTTGCCCGGCACCCTTCGCACCGCTCCCTATAACCGTGTGCCAAGTTTGAGTGCAAACGGTCCAGGCGTTCTCGACATCTGGAAGCGACCCCTGCTCGTGCGCACGTGCAGTAGCACCTCAACCGTGACATATGACAACGCATTTCCCGGTAGGTGCCTACCCACATGCCAAGTTTCAACACAATCGGGCCGGTAATTGCCGAGTTATTGTAATAAGAACAAACGTGACACCTGTTTGTACTTTGCACGTGCAGCGGGTGGTCACTCACATGAATCAAGAGTACCCGATGTTTAGTAGAAGGGCTACAGCTACCCTATAAAAATTACCGCAAGTCAAACGTCCTAATGCAGTGGTTGCTGAGATATAAGCCCACTTTGAGAAATTGGTAGTCTCAAAAGCGCTACTTCTGCAAAACAGCTTGGACGCCCCTGACTTCTCACGTGGCACGTGCCACGATGGTCAATTAGATGCATCAAGATAGTAAATTGCGGGTTAGAAGGGATGGGGCAGCCCAACAAAAAGACCACAGGTCTATCAGTCCAGCGGTTGATGAGATATAGGCCTCCAAAAGCATTACAGGCCGGGCCGGGCCGCTCATACTGATATTTTCCCGTTTTATTGAAAAGACTTCGCTTCACTCGCTCGCTGGTAATAATTTTGCTCAATAATAACAGCCATTCTTAGTCCAGACAACCATTAGTGTCAATTCTTAAAATAATTCGTCATTTTAGTCTTAGCCTACTGCACTGATTTATCGTTGCGTCAGTTTACGACAGCTCGGTGAGTATTCGTAAGTCCACCATACCGTTAACATTATGTTCTTACGAAAAACTTAAGAAATTCTTAAGATGACACGACGTGAATCGCACTTACGACATTCTTACGAGAATTCTTAAGAAAAGGTCGACGTGAATCGCAAACTGTCTACGAGAATTTTTTTATTCGTAAGATATTTTTGCTGTCGACGTGAATACCAAATTTTCGTAAGAAGTAGGTCGTGCGTAAGAAAATTCTTACGAAAATGATCGACGTGAATACGGCCCCTGACCTCATGTCAATGTGACCTTAAAAATTCCCAGATATACAAGTTGTAAGACCTCTAGAGGACACCATGTATGCGTCCTGTAACTTTCATCTCGGACAGCTATGGTCATTGGCGTCCAAAACATTGTCAGAACCAAACAGCCTTTTTCACTCTCGCGCTTATAGGAAAGAGGGTTGGATGAACACTCTTTTTATTTTTATTTTTCTGATGACTCAGACTTCAATTGAAATTTCAGTAACCCGTGATGTCACTCTAGTTCGTTTTTTTTCCCAAAGAACTCTGGCTCCAAGTATGTTTTTCGAACAAGTACGTGTTTTAGCGACCAAAACGGGCAAACCTGAGAAACTCGAATGTCGCCTTATTTTAACATGTGAATTATTCCCGAAAAATTCCGTACCTGCGTTTAGGAACTAGACATGAGAACAGTGGTGACGTCATGCTGTGGAACTTGCATTGCAATGTAATGCATAACTATCATCGAAAGAACTGCTTACTCGATTCGGGCCTCGGTAAGAGCAAAAAACGAAGTTTTCCCAAAATTCGTTGGCAATGAATGCTTTCGTACGGACATTGTGTGCCAGCTGCCACCAGTGACGTCATCATAGTATGCTCATTTTTGAAGGCACAATTTCCACGTATTTACCGAGCACAATTTGAAATCGATCATTTTTTCGGCAAGAAATTCTTAGCCAGACGCTGAAGTTGCCAGAACTCACGTGAGAGCTTCGATAATGAACTTTGAGCCAGCGTCCTTTTGAAAAAAAAAACGAACTATAGGCAGCTTTACCACGCCATTTGTAAGCTCCCCTACCGAAATCACCATTCGTAACGGTTATCGTGACGTAAAATGAATACATTTATAGGAAGAACACCTTCCCAATTTTTTGCGTACTTCTTAAAGGAACTATCCCACCTTCTAAAATGTTGTTAAAACCAGTTAAATTGTGCCCGACTTTATAGATTGGATGACCAGGAACACGGTTCTGGCATTTATTTTTCATTAAACATCTTAGGCTTCCCATATTCCAAACACAAACTTTCAAATATGTGACGTCACAGCCCAAAATTACCTCCTTCCCCAGGCCACATTACTGTCATAAAGCTGATTCTTTTTACTCTGTAGGCACCACAACAAAGTTCAGACCAAGTTTTAAGCGATTTTTCAACGAACAAACCCATTTAAATCAGAACTAGGTGTCCAGCATTACGCGTAGCGTAATAAATCAATTTTCATTAAAATCGGCCCAGTAGCGGCCGAGTTATTGCCAGAATAAATTTGTCATCTCCTCCTGGCCGGCGGTGCTCTGTTCCGGTATTCATTGCCAAAGGTCAGTGACCTGCCGGCTCTGATTTTGCTCAGTTTTGAAAGCGAAGAAACCGAGCCTAAGGCGCGTGCTCTCTGATCGGCGCCGGCCGCGGCCCAAAATCCCGCAAAGATGCGCCCGCCACGTGCAAGCCACCGAACCCACCCCCACCAAAATTTAATACGACAAACAGATGCACGCGTCCGACTTGCGCCCAAAATTCCACCCCCGTAGCCCGCACCGTTCTACAGCAATAGCCCGCCAAGCGAGACG